GAATCTAGCTGCTTTCATTTGGATGGATTAGAGACGAGAAATGTCCGACTGTTAACAGCAATGAATGAGTAATCAATGGTGTGCCAACATGTGATATCTTGGAGCTCAACTTTGCAATGATTTCTCGAATAAGAAGAAAGAGAACAAACGATAATCATATATACAACAAACTGATTGTTCCTTACACATAGTTCTTCTTTTAAGGCACGACTCTAGAACATACTATTATGATATGATGGTATCATCAGCTTCAGTTGTAAGATGCTTATTTCTGTGCAAGTGAATCTAAAAAATCTAAAAAAAAAAGTTTTACTTTTTTATTTGTTTTCTTTTTTCTTTCATCATTATTAGGTTTTTTTAATAGTATTTCTGATGGTTCTTCACCGGGTCAGATCCGGGTGTAGTTGAACACTACCATCAACAAATAGAAGTGATGAATCATTTTATGCATATATGACACTTGTCTTATCTTGATTTATTTTTATATCACTATTACATATATCTTATATATTGTTCTTGTTTGAATATTTACTAACACATAGTTACTATCGTTTGCCAATAATGATTTAATTAATTGTTCGTAGTTATAAAAGAAATGGATATTGATTTACAAACTGAATGTTCGCTAGCGATAGAGCTGAGTATGACGATTATAACTCGGGATGATCAGAAACAAAAGCATACTTACTAATAGATGCTATGACCGTTTATTAATAGATTAAGAATGCAAAATATTACCGAGACGTCGACAAAAAAAAGATGAAGATGTTGATAGCATTGAATAACTTTCATTAAACAAAAATATCGGAAAAAGCACATTTGCACTTAGTTATTACAGCACTTGACAAACATTAAAGATATTACTTTTCTAAATAAATCCATTGTCGTCTATGTGAAATATATAAATTTGAAAAGTCGATGGGACAATTTTTTACCTAGATATTTTCTTTCAACTTTTGCATAAATCTAGTTTGATAATCTATTAGTAACATTATTTCATTATGTAGTCTATAGCGTCCTCTAACAAATATCAAAGTATAGTGATGAAATAATAAAAAATTTATTTCAGAAAAAAATGATTACACAAACCATTCCTCAATCTAAATTTGAGGTCAAACATTTTATTTCAAATATTTTCAATACTAAAAAAAGAACAACAACAACAACAACAACAACATTAGTTCATTGTATTCTTGTCAATATAATACAACGATATATTAGAGGAAACACACAAACACAATCTTTATTTAATCATTATGAAAGAAATGAAGAATTTCAATTTAATTATTTTATTTTGAAATCGATGAGTATCTAATATAAATAACTAAGGAGATTTTCTAACAATAGTTCGCACAAGCCCATTACTAAATACAAATTCTTTAAATTTATTGGCAACATAAAAAAATGGTAATAAACTAGTAAAATATTGAATCCATGTCCAACGAAATTCTTTCCAAAAATTTGGTACATAACGATATAATTGTGGACCTGTATTAACAACAACATTAATTGTTAATCGTATAAAACTATCAGTTGAAGATGATAATGATGATGATGACCATTGAACATATTGTTGATCAAATGTTGTAAAATAATTACGAGAATTATATCTATCTAATATATCATCAAATGATGGTACAAGTGAATAAGTTCCAAAATCTATAATTGAACCTTGAATAGATGAATCATTTATATAACTTAATATTGGTTCACGTTGGTGAAAACGAAGCTGTCCATATACATTTACTGTACTATTTGCTAATAATGATGAAGGAGCTTTAAGTGATATTAATCCAAGTGTTTCCATATTAATTAATGGATATCGATTAAGTGAATATTGAAATATGAGCCAAAGATTGATAATTTTATCTGATATAGATTCAGGTAAAATTATATTTAATGTAATTTTCTGTTGATCAGCAATATCATCACCATTAATATCTCCTGGTATATAAGTTTTAAGAGTACTTGGATAATAACTTGAACTAAAATAATTATTTAAACGTGTATCAGATGAAGAAAATCGAAGAGATGACAGTGAATCAATAATTAAATTATATTTTTCAAGAAATGATACATTAGCTTGTTCACTATAAGTTAATTCTTTATAATAAAATCCATTTGTAAAATAACTAGTAAATAATGGTGGTAAAAAAGTAAGAAAAAGACAACTTATTTGAAATAAAATAGCAGTTGAACATGGATGAGCTAAATAACGAATACGATATTCTTGAGAATAAACTTTATATAAAACCATTTTTATTCAATTATGAATTATATTGATCATCAAATTTATTACTAATTTTAATACAACATTATGAACTATCATTTTGAAATAAATCTAAGTTAATACCTCTACCTTGATGGTGTACTTTGATTGTAATAATAGATGGAGTTAGTATTCATTTTCTATCAATTTGTTAAGTTATTTTCTATTCTTGAAAACCTTTGAAAATGTCACATATCAATAATCGGAATATATTTCAATGAGTGTGAAAGAAAAATAAAGGATATAACTATCATACTAATTCC